CCCCACAGATCCCTCAAAGACCCCACAGATAACCCCACAAAGACTCCAGAGAGTCCCCAAAGACCCCACAGATCCCCCAAAGACCCCACAGATAACCCCACAAAGACCCCAGAGAGTCCCCAAAGACCCCACAGATGATCCCCTAAAGACCCCACAGAGCTCCCAAAGACCCCACAGATAACCCCACAAAGACCCCAGAGAGTCCCCAAAGACCCCACAGATCCCCCAAAGACCCCACAGATCCCCCAAAGACCCCCCAGCCGATCCCCCAGAGCCCAGCCTGGCTCTCCCCACCTCCCTGCAGTGCTGAGGGCTCTCTCCAGGAACGCTGCACAACAGGAACACCCCAAAAGGATATTCCAGAGCCGGGTATCCCAAATCCCGGGGGATTTTAGCAGCTGGATTTGTGGGGAAAAGGAAAATTTTTTCCTGAATAATTTGTCCCTGGTTCCTTCCTCACGCCTGGGCAGGGCCCGGCAGCTTTGGCTGTATTTGCCCACGGGGTTGTGCCAATATTGATTCAGGGCTCCGGGATCCCTGCGAAGGACACCAGGGACGTTTTCCCCGCCCAGCTCCATTCGTGTGGCATTCACATTTCTGTAAAAATCCCTTTGCACAGGATTTGTCTCTTGGGAAGCTGAGAAGCCTCAGAGAAAAAGGAAAACAATAATTATCTGATTTGCTTCTCCTGTGTTTTGCTGCTTTGGAATGTGGTTGGAGAATGTTTACCCACAGGTGATTGTTTCATTGGTTTTATACGAGTTATTTTGGCTCTTTGGCCAATCAGGGCCAAGCTGGAAAAAGTAATGAGTTCACATTATTATATTTTCCTTATTTCATTATCATATTTTCATTATTTCATTATTATTTTTTCCTTATTGCATTATTATCCTTTCGTTATTTCATTATTATATTTTCATTATTCCATTATCATATTTTCATTATTTCATTCTTATTTTTTCATTATTGCATTATTATCTTTTCATTATTTCAATATTATATTTTCATTATTTCATTATTATGTTTTAGCCTTCTGTAAGTATCTTTTCTGTATTTAGTATAGTTTTAGTATAGCATATAATATAATGTAATGTAATGTAATGCAATGTAATGTAATATAATATAATATAATGCAATGCAATATAATGTAATATATAGTATAATATAGTATAATATAATATAATATAATATAATATAATATAATATAATATAATATAACATAATATAATATAATATAATATAATATAATATAATATATAATATAATATAATGTAATGTAATATAATATAATGTAATATAAAATAATATAATATAATATAATATAATGTATGATATAGTATAATATAGTATAATATAGTATAATATAATATGGTATAATGTAATGTAATGTAATGTAAAGTAATGTAATGTAATGTAATGTAATGTAATATAATATAATATAATATAATATAATATAATATAATATAATATATTTTTAGCCTTCTGAGAACATGGAGTCAGATCCATCATTCCTGCCATGAGGATCCCTGTAAATAAAAGTTTTTTTCTCAAAATTCCAGCAGGAAAAGGGGCTGGAGCTGCAGGAAAAACTGATTTCCCTGGCACTTCCCACCTTCCTTCAACCCTAAAACACCCCAGATCTTTCTCCTATCAAAATTTAAAAAAAGAGGAAAAATCCCATACAAAAGATATCCCATAAAAATCCATCCCATATTCCATAAATTTTACTTTGGAGAATTCACAATCCAACGGGTCGGATGGAAAAACCCAACTAAAACATTGGAAAAACTTGGGAAAATGCTCTTTAATGGCTTTTTTTTCTTTCTATGTAAGGAGAAAAAAAAAAGAAGCACAAAATAATCTGGGAAAAAAAATAGAAACCTTATAAATTAAAAAAAAGAAATATATAAATATATAAAAATAAAAATAAAAAATATAATATATAATATATAATATATAATATATAATATATAATATATAATATATAAATAGAAAAAAGAAAATTAGAATCTTTTTCATCTGAAAAATTAAAAATAGAAATTTTTTTCAATTCTATTTTTCTGAAATAGAAAATTTGAAATATTCTTATAAAATATAGTCCAGACACTGACAGATGGATAAAATCCTTTATTATTATTATTATTATTAATATTATTATTATTATTAATTTTTTTGTACCTTTCCATTTATTCCAGAAAAACTCTCTCTCTCTATATATATATATAAAAAATCATTACTTCTTTCGGAATAAATCCTTAAAATCATTTATTTTAAAACAAGTCTTTTGTTTGTACAGCACTACTTAAATACATTTATTCTCAGTTTTCTGCCAAAAAATCACCCCAGAGAAATTCACAGCTTGGGATCCATCCCGGCCCCTTCCATCGATTTTCCTGCTTGAGGATGAGCTGAGGATGGAGGAAGGCAATGAGGAAATGTGAATTTTTATTTTTTATGCTCCAAAACCCGATTTTGAAGGGACATCCAAAATCCAAATCCAATTTTAGACCATTTGAGCGTCCAGATGTGCAGCACAGCTGCAGAAAAACCCAAACAAAACCACTGGAAAACCTTGGGAAAACGCTCCTTAATTCCACTTTTTTCACCTTTTGTGCAAAGAAAAAGGGGAAAAATTTATTTATTTTGTCCCGAATCTCCAAAACCCAAAGGAATTTTGTTGTTTGGATTTTCCACATGGAAGTGTTGGGCCAGGAGAGGAGGAGCCATGTGGGAATGCACACAAGAGTTGTTTTTTTGTTGTTTTTGTCCCAAACCCTGATTTAATTCTATTCCTTCACCCATTCCATCATCTGGCCAGACAAAAGAATACCAGGAATCCAAATTTCCTGAAGGCACAGCCAAAAATCCTCTTTTCTGCTAATAAAAAAAAGGGAAAAAAATTCCAAGAAAAACCAGCACAAGACAAAGCAACAATTTCCTTTTGCCTGCCCCCGCTCCTGGATGTGGTGGATGGCAGAATCCATGAAATGAGGGAGGAAAAAAAATGCTGGAAAACCACAGAAATTCCCAACATTTTCATGAAAATTCCAAAAAACCTGGGAAATCCTGCCCAGGGATGGGGTTTTTTTAATGGATGGGGCTGGAATTTTATGCCAGGCTTGGAAAAGAGGGATTTAATTCCAGGATTTAATTCCAGGATTTAATCTCCCCCTAAACCCAGCCTAAAAGGGCTGGAATTTTATGCCAGGCTTGGAAAAGAGGGATTTAATTCCAGGATTTAATTCCAGGATTTAATCTCCCCCTAAACCCAGCCTAAAAGGGCTGGAATTTTATGCCAGGCTTGGAAAAGAGGGATTTAATTCCAGGATTTAATCCCTGCTCTGTTTTTTTTTCCAGCTGTGGACATCAGAGAGTGGCACCAAATATTTACACTTCAAATGGGAATCAAATATTGGGATAAATGGGATTACCTGGAATTGGGAGCTGATCAGCAAAAGGGGGATTGGAAACCTCTGGAATTCTCTGGAATTCTGTAAACTTGGGGGGTTCTGGGTGTGATTCCAGAGGGAAAAAATCCCCAAAAAATCTCACAAAAATTCCTTGGAAAAGCTGGGATTCTAAAGAAAGGAAAAAAAAAAAAGTTTAGGAGGGAAGAAATTCCTGTTTTTCCCAGGTTTTGGGTGTTGCCAAATATTGGGAATTCTCTCACGAGGTGGAAACCTTAACCCCTCACCCTTTTGGGGGGAATTAAAGGGAAAAAGGGAAAGCCTGTGCAAGGATAAACAGGATCCAGCCGGGCTTTTCCTAATCCTGGGAATGTTGTCCTGGTTCCATGGGATTCTCCCAGCAGTTTGCCTTGATCTTCAGCATTTCAAAATTTCAGGAATTTTGGATCTGGATGCGAATTTCTCCCCCTGGTGATGTGGGGTGGCTCAGTGTCCTTGGAAATTCATTCCCACTCCCAGAGTTGGAAAACCTCGGGAAAACGCCCTTTAGTTCCATTTTTTAAATCTTTTTTGTAAGGAAGAAGGAAAAAAATGCACTTAATGATTGAATGTCCAATATCCAAAGGAATTTTGTTGTTTGGATTGTGGGAATGGGAAAACAGAGCAGGAAAACGGAGCAGAGACAGGGCAGGGATGCCCAGAGTGGGTTCCTGCCCTGCTCCAGGCTTTTCCCACTCCTGGGAATGTTGTCCTGGTTCCATGGGATTCTCCCAGCAATTTGCCTTGATCTTCAGCAGGAATTTTTGGATCTGGATGTGAATTTCTCCCCCGGGGGATGTGGGGTGGCTCAGCACCCCTGGAAATTCATTCCCAATCCCAGAGTTGGAAAACCTTGGGAAAATGCCTTTTAGTTCCATTTTTTCATCTTTTTTGTAAGGAAGAAGGAAAAAAAAAAAAAAATGCATTATTTTGTCCTGAATCTCCAAAATCCAAAGGAATTTTGCTGTTTGAATTGTGGGAATGGGAAAAGTGAGCAGGAAAACGGAGCAGAGACAGGGCAGGGATGTGCAGGGAGGGTTCCTCCAAATCTCGCAAATCCTCATTCCGAGTCCCCAAACGCCACAAATCCCCACTCTGAGCCCCCAAACCCCACAAATCCCCTTCCCAAAACCCTCCCAGGTGCCAGCAGCTCCTCCCTGGGGCTCCTCTCAGCGGGGACACCCCCAAACAAAGGGGGGACAATGCCCCAGGTCCGTGCAGGGGGGTTTGGGCGCTGCTGCCGGGGTTTGGGAGCTGCTGCCGGGGTTTTGGGGGTTTGGGAGCTGCTCCTGGAGTTTGGGAGCTGCTCCCGGGGTTTTGGGGGTTTGGGAGCTGCTCCCGGGGTTTTGGGGGTTTGGGCGCTGCTCCCGGGGATTTTGGGGTTTGGGAGCTGCTCCCGGGGATTTTGGGGTTTGGGAGCTGCTCCCGGGGTTTTGGGGGTTTGGGAGCTGCTCCCGGGGGTTTTGGGGTCCTGCTGGAGCCGGGAATTGTGCCCAGGGCCGGGTGGGAGCCGCTCCTTTCCAGCGTTTCCGTCTCCACGGCAGCCGGGGCGACGCCAAATCCCAGCTCAGAAGATGCTCTGCCTCCTGTTCTTGCCGCGGGCTGGGGAGGGGACACGGACAGGGGGGTCAGGTGTGCCCCAAGTGTGCCCAGGTGTGCCCCAAGTGTGCCCCAGATGTGCCCCAGGTGTGCCCAGGTGTGCCCAGGTGTGCCCCAGGCACTCCCTGTGCCAGGCCAGGCCGTGCCCAGCAGTCCTAATGTGGTCTCCCCAAAAACCAGAGGGTGCAGGGCAGCTTATCTGAGCAAAGGAGCATTTCCAGTAACTCCTGCCTGAGGCAAACCCCACAAATCCCCACCCTGAGGCCCCCAAACCCCCCAAACTCCCACCCTGAGGCCCCCAAACCTCACAAATCCCCACCCTGAGCACTCAAACCCCACAAATCCCCACCCTGAGGCCCCCAAACCTCACAAATCCCCACTCTGAGCCCCCAAACCCCACAAATCCCCACTCTGAGCCCCCAAACCCCACAAATCCCCACTCTGAGCCCCCCAAACCTCACAAATCCCCACTCTGAGCCCCCAAACCCCCCAAACTCCCACCCTGAGGCCCCCAAACCTCACAAATCCCCACTCTGAGCCCCCAAACCCCACAAATCCTCACTCTGGGGAGGGGATTCCGAGCCAGGGGCATTGCCAGCATCAGGGGAGGTGCCAGCCTGTGCCCATTCCCTGCCCATCCCCTGCCCATCCCTTCCCCATCCCATGCCCATCCCCTGCCCAGCCCTTGCCCAGCCTGTGCCCATTCCCTGCCCATTCCCTGCCCAGTCCTGCCCATCCCCTGCCCATTCCCTGCCCATCCCATGCCCATTCCCTGCCCATTCCCTGCCCATCCCATGCCCATTCCCTGCCCATTCCCTGCCCAGTCCTGCCCATCTCCTGCCCATTCCCTGCCCATTCCCTGCCCATTCCCTGCCCATTCCCTGCCCATTCCCTGCCCATCCCCTGCCCATTCCCTGCCCATCCCCTGCCCATCCCCTGCCCATTCCCTGCCCATCCCATGCCCATCCCATGCCCAGCCGTACCCGAGTGCTGGAAGGCCGAGCCGCGGTGCCCGGGGTCCTTCTGCAGCTGGATCTCCTTCAGGGAGAAGATGGAGGCGGCTGGGCAGAGAGGGCACAGACACAGGGTCAGGGCTGGCACAGGGGGCACCGCCACGGGGAGCTGCTGGCACCGCCCAGCCCGTCCCGTCCCACACAAATTATTTTTAATTTTATTTTTATTTTTATTTTTATTGTTGTAGTAGAAGTAGCATTTATGGTTACTATTATTATTATGCTATTATTATAATGACATTATTATTATTAATAATTTTTTAGTAGTAGTAGTAGTAGTATTTATGGTTGTTGTTATTATTATATTAGTAGTAGTGGTGTTCATTATTATTATTATTACTAGCATTATTAGTAATTATTATTATTATTAGTAGCAGCAGCAGCAGCATTTATGGGTATTGTTATTAGTAGTAGTATTAGTAGAATTAATGTTTTTATTATTTATTATTTTTATTTAATTACTATATTATTATCAGTAGTATTTATTGTTATAACTATAATTATAATATTATTAGTAGTAGTGCTTATTATTATTTTTATTAGTAGAAATATTAATATTATTAGCATTATTTGCAATTATGGTTCTTATTATTATAATATTATTAATAGCAGTAGCATTTATGAGTATTATTATTACTATTATAACTATTATTTTAATTTTTATTAGTAGTAGCATTTATGGTTCTTATTATAATTATAATATTATTAGTAGTAGCAGTGTTTATTATTATTACTTAGTAGTAGTAGTAGTAGTAATAATATAGTATTATTAGCATTATTGGTATTTAAGATTCTTCTTCTTATAATATTTGTTATTAGGAGTAGTAGCTATTATTACTATTATTATTATTATTATCATTACCATTATTCACTCCCACAGCCATCAGCCCCTGCCCCACCCTGCTGCAGAGACGCCCCTGAGGGAGCAGGGAGGTGCCTGCAGCCCCTGTTTTACCCTCTTTTACCCATTTTTACCCATTTTTGGGGGCACTCACTGTCAGGCAGGAGGTGCCTGCAGCCCCTGTTTTACCCCATTTTTACCCTTTTTACCCATTTTTACCCATTTTTGGGGGCACTCACTGTCAGGCAGGAGGTGCCTGCAGCCTGTTTTACCCATTTTTACCCATTTTTACCCATTTTTGGGGGCACTCACTGTCAGGCAGGAGGTGCCTGCAGCCTGTTTTACCCCATTTTTACCCTTTTTACCCATTTTTACCCATTTTTGGGGTCACTCACTATCAGGCAGGAGGTGCCTGCAGCCTGTTTTACCCCATTTTTACCCTTTTTACCCATTTTTACCCATTTTTGGGGTCACTCACTGTCAGGCAGGAGGTGCCTGCAGCCTGTTTTACCCCATTTTTACCCTTTTTACCCATTTTTACCCATTTTTGGGGGCACTCACTGTCAGGCAGGAGGTGCACGCGCTCTCCCAGGCTCCTGAAGTAGGGGTGCTGCAGGGCGGCCTCGGCTGAGATCCGGCCCTTGGCTCTGTACTGCACAACGCCCCAGAGAAAAACAGAAATACTCAGCTATGGCACACATCTGGGCACCTTTCTACATCCACACCACACATCTGGGCACCCCTGCACATCCACACCACACATCTGGGCACCTTTCTATATTTACGCCACACATCTGGGCGCCCTTGTACATTCAACTCGCACATCTGGGCACCTCTCAACATTTTTATCACCCATCTGGGCACCCCTGCACATTTACACCATAGATCTGGACACCTCTCTACATTTACACCACACATCTGGGCACCCCTGTACATTTATATCACACATCTGGACACCTGTCTACATTCACCTCACACATCTGGGCACCCCTGTACGTTTCCACCCCACATTTCCTCTCCACATTTATACACCTTTCTACGTTTATATCGCACGTCTGGGCCCCCCTGCCCACCCCAGCGGTGCCACCCGCCCGCCCCGTGGCACTGCCCTGCTCCAGGTGCCCCTTCCCTTCCCTTCCCTTCCCTTCCCTTCCCTTCCCTTCCCTTCCCTTCCCTTTTCCCCATTCCCATTTCCCCATTCCCATTTCCCCTTTTTTCCCCTTTCCCCTTTTTTCCCCTTTCCCAGCACCCACCAGCAGCAGATTTGTCAGCAGGTCGACGCCTTCCGAGTCCAGCCTGGGAGAGAGGGGAAACAAAACCAAAACTGCCCCAGGGCTGCACCCAGGAGGCTGCAACGACCACAGGGAGGAGGCACGAGTGGCACTGCAGCCTCGAAACGAGCCTGGGCTGCCCAGGCTGCCCCTTCCACCCCTCGAACCCCCCAATTTTCTCTGTCCTGCCCTGGGGTACCTTGGGGCGTGATTGATCAGGGGCTGGGCTCGGTACTGGCTGAAGTTGTAAGCCTTGAACTCCTCGTTGGACGTTATCCCAGGCCAGGTGTCCTCTGTGGGAGTTCCTGTGGGGGGACAAGGGACCTGCCACGGGCTCTGGGTGGGATGGAACCTCCAGGAGTGTGGGGCTGTCCCTGAGAGGGCACTGATGTGCCCAGGGGTGGCAGTGCCAGCAGGGAGCCGCTCATCCTTACACCCGTGCCAGCCTGGAGGGGCTGCGGGCAGCTTCTGTCCGTGCCAGCTGACCCTGGCCCAACCCAGCCATGTGTGCCCATGTCAGCCCAGCCCTGCCTGTTTCATCCCATCCCTTCTCACCCCATCCCATCCCTTTTCATTCCTGCCCATCTCATCCCACTCCACCCCATTCCTTTTCCCTCCTTCCCACCTCATCCCATCCCATCCCATCCCTGTTCATTCCTGTCCACCTCATCCCATCCTTGTTCCCTCCTTCCTATTGCATCCCACCTCATCCCTGTTGATCTCATTCCACCCCATCCCTGTTCCTTCCCTCCTTTCCTTTCCACCCCACCCCTTTTCCCTCCTTCCCACCCCATCCCAGTTCATCCCATCCCTTTTCCCTCCTTCCTACTGCATCGCACTTCATCCCTGCTCATTTGTCTCCACTCCATCCTATCCCTGTTCCCTTCTTCCCGCCCCATCCCTGTTCATTCCTGTCTATCCCATCCCATTATTCCATCCTATTATCCCATCCCATCCCATCCCATCCCTTTCCCCTCCTTCCTACTGCATCCCACCTCATCCCTGCTCATTCCATCCCACTCCACCCCTGCTCATTCCTGTCCATCCCATCCCTGTTCCCTCCTTCCTATCCCATGGATCCCATTCTATCCCATCCTATCCGACCCCATTATCCCATTTTCCCAGCCCGCTCCCATTCCCGTTCCTGCTCCCGCTCCCGGTGCGGTTCCCGCTCCCATTCCCGTTCCGTTCCCGTTCCCGGGCAGGCAGTGCCCCCGCGCGGAGAGCGGGCTCGGCGCTCGCTCCCGTTCCCGTTTCCCGTTCCCATTCCCGTTCCCAGTGCGGTTCCTGCTCCCGTTCCCGTTCCCGTTCCCGTTCCCGTTCCCATTCCGATTCCCGTTCCCATTCCCGTTCCCGGGCCGGCAGTGCCCCCGCGCGGGGAGCGGGTTCAGCGCACGGCGCTCGCTCCCGTTCCCGTTCCCGGTGCGGTTCCCAGTGCGGTTCCCGTTCCCGTTCCCATTCCCGTTCCCGGGCCGGCAGTGCCCCCGCGCGGGGAGCGGGCTCAGCGCACGGCGCTCGCTCCCGTTCCCGTTCCCGGTGCGGTTCCCAGTGCGGTTCCCGTTCCCATTCCCATTCCCATTCCCGTTCCCGTTCCCGTTCCCGTTCCCGGGCCGGCAGTGCCCCCGCGCGGGGAGCGGGCTCGGCGCTCGGCGCTCACCCAGCAGGCGGAAGATGAGGTGCAGCTCCTCCTTCACCGTGGAGCCGGGGAACATCGGCCGGCCCGTCACCATCTCGTAGTGGATGCAGCCGACGCCCCTGCAGGGCAGGGGACACCCGGGGGTCACAGGAGACACCCGGGGTCACGGGGGACAAAGGCCGCGGGTGGAGCGGGACCGGCTCCGGGAGGAGGAACCGCTCCCAGCGGGGTGGGGATGGCACGGAGCGACCCCGAATGCCAGGAGATGGGGAAACTGCAATGGGGACATGGGGACAGGGAAATCTGCTCTGGGAGAACCTGGGGACAGGGAAATCTGCTTTGGGAACAGGGAAATCTGCACTGGGAGAGCTCCGGGGACAGGGAAAATTGTTCTGGAAGAGCCCCAAACCCTCTGGTGTAAAAAGCCTCAGGGGACAGGGGAAACAGCTCTGGCAGAGCTCCAAGGACAGGGAAAACAGGTTTGGAAAAGCTCCCAAACCTCTGGTGTCAACAGACCCAGGGGACAGGGAAACTGTTCTGGGTGAGCCCCGAGGACATGGGGACAGGGAAATCTGCACGGGGAGAACCCCAAGGACAGGGAAACTGCGTTGGGAGAGCTCTGGGGACAGGGAAACTGTTCTGGGAGAGTTCTGGGGACATGGGGACAGGGAAATCTGCACTGGGAGAGCCCTAGGGACAGGGAAATCTGCAATGGGACAGCCTGGGGACAGGGAAACTATTCTGGGAGAGCCCTTGGGGCAGGGAAAATCTGCTCGGGGAGAGCCCCAAAACCTGTGATGAAAAAGCCTCAGGGGACAGGAGAAACAGCTCTGGGAGAGCCCCAAGGACAAGGAAACTGTTCTGGGAGAGCTCTGGGGACATGGGGACAGGGAAATCTGCACTGGGAGAGCCCTGGGATCATGGGAACAGGGAAATCTACACAGGGAGAGCTCTGGGGGCATGGGGACAGGGAAAAAGCTCTGGGAGAGCCCTGGGGACAGGGAAATCTGCACTGGGAGAGCCCCAAGGACATGGGGACAGGGAAACTGTTCTGAGAGAGCCTCAAGGGACAGGGAAATCTGCACTAGAAGAGCCCCAAACCCTCTGGTGTAAAAAGCCTCAGGGGACAGGTAAAACAGCTCTGGGAGAGCCCTGGGGACAGGGAAACTGTTCTAGAAGAGCCCTGGGGACAGCGCAAACAGCCCTGGGACAGCCCCCCACCCTCTGTGGTACCCAGCACGGTGAGGATGAGGATGGAAATGCCCAACCCCTCCTGGCGAGCCCCGGGCAGCTCGGTGGGTGCTCACCACATGTCGATGGGCGTGGAGTACTCGGTGGAGCCCAGCAGGACATCGGGGGGCCGGTACCACAGCGTCACCACCTCGTTGGAGTAGGTTTTTGTGGGGACAGACTTGGCCCTGGCTAGCCCTGAGGGCGGCAGGGACGCGCATCAAGGAGCTGCTCCCCCTTTTTATCCCAACCCTGCATCGCCCCCGGGGGGCTTCGCCTACCGAAATCAGCCAGCTTGAGCTCCCCCCGCTCGTTGATGAGCAGGTTCTGGGGTTTGAGGTCTCGGTGCAGGATTTTCCTGCCGTGGCAATAAGCCAGGCCACGGAGCAGCTGGAACATGAAGATCTGCGGGGAGGAGGAGAATTGTCACAGAGATATTTTATAAAAAAATCCTTTCATTAGGATTCTTCTCCTGAGAGGCTGAGAGGCCTCAGAAATGAAATAAAAACAATAATTGTCTGCTGCTGTGGAGTGCAACAGGTGCATCTTTGATTGGTCTCGTGTGATTATTTTTAATTAATGGCCAATCACAGGTCCTGCTGTGTTGGGACTCTGAGCAGTCACAAGATTTGATTGTCATTCCTTCCTTTTCCAGCCTTCTGATGTCTCCTTTCTCTTTTCCTTAGTATAGTTTTACTATGTCACTAATATAATATAATGTAATATAATGTAATATAATGTAATATAATATAATGTAATATAATGTAATATAATGTAATATAATGTAATATAATACTATATAATATAATATAATATAATATAATATAATATAATATAATATAATATAATATAATATAATATAATATAATATATCAGCCTTCTGAAACATGGAGTCAAGATTCTCTTCCTTTGTCCTGGGGACCCAAAAACACCACCATGGAGGAGGAGGAGGAGGAAGGTGCATTTAGGACTAAAACTCAACCTGCCTTGAGGAATTTGGATGTTGTGGGCAGGAAAGACCCCTTGGAACTGCGTTCTGGGAAAGGGTCACGGGATGGGATGAGTGAAATGTGAATGTGCAGTGATTTTATTTAGGGTGGAAACACTGGGGGAGCTCAGAAAGGGCAAAGGGAGCAGGAACTGAAGGGTGAGGGGATCTTCAGGCTCAGAAAAGGGAAAAGGAGCAAGGACTGGAGGGCGAAGGGATCTCCAGCCTCAAAATGGGCAAAAGGAGCAGGAACTGAAGGGATCTCCAATCTCAGAAAGCAGAAAAGGAGCAAGAACTGGAGGATGAAGGGATCTCCAGCCTCAGAAAGGGCAAAAGGAGCAGGAACTGGAGGGTGAGGGGATCTCCAGGCTCAGAAAGGGCAAAAGGAGCAGGAACTGGAGGGTGAGGGGATCTCCAGGCTCAGAAAGGGCAAAAGGAGCAGGAACTGGAGGGTGAGGGGATCTCCAGGCTCAGAAAGGGCAAAAGGAGCAGGAACTGGAGGGTGAGGGGATCTCCAGGCTCAGAAGGGGCAAAAGGAGCAGGAACTGGAGGGTGAGGGGATCTCCAGGCTCAGAAAGAGGAAAAGGAGCAGGAACTGAAGGGATCTCCAGCCTCAGAAAGGGCAAAAGGAGCAGCAAATTAAGGGTGAAGGGATCCCCAGCCCCAAACCCCCCCAGTCAGCACGAGGAGCAGGGCAGGGCTCCCCGCACGCCCCTCACCTTCACGTTGTGCACGCTCATCAGGTTGCCGCAGTTCTCCAGGTACTGCTTGAGGTCGTTGTCCTGCAGGGGCAAGGACGCGTCAGTCTCTGTCCCTCCCTCGCCCCCCCAGCCCCCGGAGGAGCCCCCAGACCCACCAGGTACTCGAAGACGAGGGTGAGGCAGCGCTCGGTGTGGATGATGTCGTGCAGGGTGACGATGTTGGCGTGCTTGAGGTTCTTCAGCAGGGACACTGCGGGGACAGGGGGGCTGAGCGGGGCCACAGCCACCCCAAATCCCTCTGGGAACCCAAGGGAACCCTCTCCCAGCCTCACCTTCCCGGATGGCCGTGCAGGGAGCGCCCTCCTCGTGCTCCAGGCGGATTTCCTTCAGCGCCACCAGGTTCTCTGTCAGCTTGCTGCGGCCCTTGAACACCGTGGCGTAGGTGCCCTGCGGACGCGGGGACATGGCGCAGACAGCTTGTCATGGAAAACCCTTTCCTTAGGATTTTTCTCTTCCTGAGAAGCTGAGAGGCCTCAGGAACGAAGTGTAAACATTGATTATGTGCTGCTGTGGGATGCAACAGGTGCATCTGGGATTGGTCTCGTGGATGTTTGTAATTAATGGCCAATCACAGTCAGCTGGCTTGGACAGAGAGCTGAGCCACAAACCTTTGTTATCATTCTTTCTTTTTCTATTCTATTCTTAGCCAGCCTTCTGATGAAACCTTTTCTTCTATTCTTTTAGTATAGTTTAAATGTAATATATATTATAAAATAAGAAATCAGCCTTCTGAAACATGGAGTCAGATCCTCATCTCTTCCCTCATCCTCGGATCCCTGTGAGCACCAGCACAGAGACATTCCCACTGAGAGGAATGCTGGATTTGTCTTTACAAACAAGGATTAATTCAATTTTGTAAAACCCCTCCTCTGCTCCCTGTCCCTTTGCCTCCATCTGTTTTTACAGCAACAATCAGGAAACATCCCCTGTATGAAAATAACGTGTATTCATTCAACTGGACCGAATCTTTCTGAACTTCCTCGTTTGCCGAGCAAATTATAATCAAGGAAAACAAAGGACATTTAAGGTCTGGCTGAATGGAGGCTCAGAACCCGCTGGAAATGATATTTTGGGTGAATTTGTGCTGGTTCCCACAGGTGGAACTAAAACAAAGCTGGGTAAAAGGTGCAGCTGCAAACCAGCAGCTCTGAGAGCAGTGGATCAAACTCTCTGTCATATTTGATGTAAAATCAGAGGTGAATCCACAACCTGGACGCTTCCAGTGTGAGAGGAATGACAGATTTGTCTTTCCAAACAAGCTGTGGGTAGATAAAACCAGCACTGAGAGATAAACAATGGGAAGGATTCCACTGCTTGATGAATGGTAAAAGGTATTTGATTTTACAAATAAAGTTTAGCTTTGCTGATAAATGAAATTGGATATTGAAAGGTGAAAGAAACAATGGGGAAAACTCCTAAATTCTGTAAGAATTAAAAATGAAAAGGGAGGGTTATAGGGGAATTAGAGGGTTAGGGAATATATGGAATATACAGGAGGATTAGAGGGGAAATCTCTGGTATCAGGTGTTTTGGGGAGTCTGAACCTCTCAATTACCTCAGAAATGGGGAATGAGAGAAGGGAAATGTGGGAAATTGGGATAAAAAGGAGGCTGAGTCCTCCAAAAATCTGAGAGACCCCAGGGGAATGCCCCATGGCCTCTCCCTTTATTGGAATAAAGTCAAAGGACTCCTCTGTCTCCCTTTTGGCCATAAATCTCTGATGTTTGTGGATTGATTTTCCTAACACCAGGGTGGCACAGCACTGGCGTGCCCAAAACATTTGGAGGAAGGACCATGTGAGGTGCCAGCACCAGGCCTGAGCTCCACAAGAAAAACTTGCTCTGGAAATTTCTGGATATTGACGATTTTTGCCCTTTGAATTTCATTGAATTCCTTCCAGGGGTGTCACAGATTACTCACCTCTCCCAGTTTGTCCAGTTTAATGTAGGTTTCCAGCTTCCCAAAGCCAATATCTGACTGTGAGAGAGAAAGGAAAACATCAGTGGGGAGGAGGGAACCTCATCCAGGCATGGTTCCACCTCCAGAGGGGTTTCCACGGACACTGAGCAGTGACAACTGGGATTTTTACTCCATTTGCAGTGAAAATTGGGATTTTTACTCCATTTGCTGCCCAAATGGGAAGGATTCCACTGATTGGTGCATGGAAAAAGATATCTGATTTTACAAATAAACTTCAGGTTTGCTGATAAATGAAATTAGACATTGAAAGATGAAAGACACAAATTGGGATTTTTACTCCATCTGCTGCCCAAACCCTCCGTGTATCCTGGGAAAAGCCGAGTCCTGAGCAGGGGGGCGAAGGTGCTGGAACAACCCCCAGAGCCACATTCCTTATTCATGAGGGGCTCATGAATATTAATGACACGTTGCCATGGCTTTGTTTTATTGCTCAGACAGCACAGGCAGGTGAATTCCAGCTCTCCATCCCTCCTCTTCCTCCTGAAGGGGCACCTCGTGTCCCAAAATGCCTCCTGAGCCCTGGCTGTGGTACCTGGGCGCCTCTGGTGTCTGCACAGGGAGATTTTTGCTCCTGGTTTGTTGCGCACAGAGTTTTTGTTCCCATTTCTGCTGCTGCAGCAGCAGAGGAAGGGAAATGCCAGCACTGGAGCCAAGGCTGATTCATTATTTATCCCCGTTTGCATTTGGGCTGAGCTGCAGGAGGGTTTCCCTCCCCTGCTTTGGGAGGGAGCCAGGCTGAGAGGGCAGCCAGGTGTGCACAGGGGAGGGAGGGAGGGGAAAATGGCCCAGCAGGGGCAGGTGGGGAAGGGAGAATCATGGAATCATGGAATTATTGAGGGTGGAAAATCCCTGTGGGATCATTGAGTCGAAGCTGTGCCCGATCCCCACCCTGAGCCCTCAGTGCCACCTCCAGGGCACACCTGCAGGGATGGGCGCTCCAAACCCCCCTGGGCAGCCCCTTCCGGCCCTTTCCATGAGGAAATTCCTGCTGATGTCCAACCTGAGCCTCCCCAGCCCAGCCTGAGGCCGTTCCCTCTCCTCCTGTCCCTGTTCCCTGGGATAAGATCCCAAATCCTCCCCGGCTGTGCCCTCCTGGCAGGAGCTGTGCAGAGCCAGAAATTCCCCCTGAGCCTCCTTTGCTCCAGGCTGAGCCCCTGCCCAGCTCCCTCAGGGCTCTCAAAACCCTCCCCAGCTCCCTCAGGACTCTCCAAACCCTTCCCAGCTCCTCCAAACCCTTCCCCAGCTCCCTCAACTCCTCCAAATCCTCTCTCAGGATTCTCCAAACCCTTCCCTGGTTCTCTCAGGACTCTCCATTCCCTTTCCCAGTTCCCTCAGTATTTCTCCAAACCCTTTCCAGGATTCTCCAGACCCTTCCCCAACTCCTTCAGGATTTTCCAAACCCTTACCCAGCTCCCTCAACTTCTCCAAATCCTCCCTCAGGACTCCCCAAACCCTTCCCTGGTTCTCTCAGGATTCTCCATTCCCTTTCCCAGCTCTCTCAGGACTCCCCAAACCCTTCCCTGGTTCTCTCAGGATTCTCCATTCCCTTCCCCAGCTCCCTCAGGACTCTCCAAACCCTTCCATGCTTCTCTCAGGACTCTCCAAACCCTTCCCTGGTTCTCTCAGGATTCTCTAGACTCTTCCCCAGCTCCCTCAGGACTCTCCAAACCCTTCCCAGGTCTCTCCAAACCCTTTCCCAGCTCTCCCAGCCCCTTCTGGTGCTGCCGGGGCTGAGCAGGAAGGGCTGGGACTGGGCAGGGACGTGAGGGGACCTCGGTGACAGTGAGGGGAGCTGGCACAGCAGGACAGGGGGACACCTCTGCTCGGTGCCACTCACGAGGGAGGCGCGGCGGGACATCCTGCTCAGGGGCTTGGGCAGCTCCAGGCTCTCCATCTGCAGCTTCTGCAGGAACTCGGGCGGCAGCCGGATGTCCATGGGCAGCGAGAGGCGCCTGCTGACGTCCTGCAGGAGGGGACACGGAGGTGACACGAGGAATTCCAAGGGGAAGAGCTCTGCCATTGATGTGGCAGTGTCACCGTCACGTTTTCTGGAAAATCCTCTTTGCCCAGGATTCTTCTCCTGGGAAGCTGAGAAGGCTCAGAGAAAAAGGAAAACAATAATTATCTGATTTGCTTCTGCTGTGTTTGGTCTTTGGAATGTGGCTGTGCATTGTTTACCCACAGGTGATTGTTTGATTGGTTTCATGTGAATTGGTTTTAATTAATGACCAATCAAAGCCAGCTGTGTTGGACTCTCTGGTCAGTCAAGGGTTTTTATTATTCGTTTTTTTCTGGACTTCTGATGTATCATTTGTCTATAGTTTAGTACAGTTCTAGTATAGAATTTCTTATAATTTCATAGGATTTCTTATAATTTCATAGAATAGAATAGAATAGAGTAGAATTAATGTAATATAATGTGATGTAAATATAATATAATATAATATAGTATAGTATAGTACAGTATAGTATAGTACAGTATAGTATAGTATAATAATATAATATAATATAATATAATATAATATAATATAATATAATATAATACATAATGTCTATATTATAAATATCATAACGTTATAAATAATATATATTATAAATATAATAAAATAATAAATTAGTCTTCTAAGAACATGAACTCAGATTCATCATTTCCTCACTGCCACGGGGAACCCCAAAAATCCCACATGGCAGCGCCACTCAAGGGAAGGGGGTGGTGGCACATGGTGGCAGTCACAGCAGAGGATGCCAGGGCTGGTGTGTGACACTGCCACGTCCCAGAGCACACCCAGCCCACGGGGAGGTGACACCCAGATGTCTCCATGTCCCCAGCACTCACCCAGCTATCCCCATGTCCCCTGTCCCCAGCACTCACCCAGCTGTCCCCATGTCCCCAGCACTCACCCAGCTGTCCCCCTGTCCCCAGCACTCACCCAGCTGTCCCCCTGTCCCCGTGTCCCCTGTCCCCAGCACTGACCCAGCTGTCCCCGTGTCCCCGTGTCCCCCTGTCCCCAGCACTGACCCAGCTGTCCCCATGTCCCCATGTCCCCAGCACTGACCCAGCTGTCCCTGTGTCCCCGTGTCCCCATGTCCCCAGCACTGACCCAGCTGTCCCCATGTCCCCGTGTCCCCTGTCCCCAGCACTGACCCAGCTGTCCCCATGTCCCCGTGTCCCCTGTCCCCAGCACTTGCCTCCATGGAGCAGCGCCGCTGGCCGTGGTTGCGGTAGCGCACGGCGCCCACCGGGGACCGGCCCTGTCCCTCGGTTGGGGACACGGGGCTGCCGTCAGCTGCCACCTCCCTGCCCAGCTGGGCCAGGTCTGGGGACGAGAGGAAAGCAGAGTGTGAAAAATGCGTGTATTTTATGATTGGCTTCTCGCAAATATTCAAATGAATATTGTATGTGTTGTGTTAGAAAGTGATGCTGTATTAATTCTCTTAAGTCGTGTGTTTTAGGTGATAAAATGTTAAAATAGAAACTGTGCTGTGTAGGATACGTTTTTAAAGAAAGGACTCGCAGCGAGACAGCAGGCACAGGACACCTGAATCTTTCAGAGAAAGAGAATTTATTGCTCCATTATCAGGAGAAACGAACTTCTTCCCGCCTCGAAGGCGCTGTCAGGATTCAGAGGAAGAAGTTGAAGATGACCAGAGAGAATCCTGTGTTTGAATGGAATTTATGCATCATGTGTGAGGTGTATGAATGTGCAACAGGCTGTTGCTTTTAAGGGTTAATCCTTGGTTAACGTGGGGCCTTTTTGGGGCTCGCGCTGCCCAGAAAAGGTAGCCAGACATCCATAACTCTTTGTATTTATTGTCTCGTATTGTCCTAATTCAATTCGTCCAAATTTTTATTACTCTAATTGTATTACTATTTTTATAACCATTTTATTGCTATTAAACTTTTAAAATTTTAAAAACAAGTGATTGGTGTTTTTCACAAGAGGAGCACCAAGGAGTGAGGGCGGGACAGGGATGCTCTGGGGAATCTCTTCTTCCTTCTCTGAGGCCAGAGGGAATTCTGAGTTTTGCTCTGGATTCCTGGGGCATCACCACCCTCAGCATTCCCAGAGCACACCCTGCCTGCTGTGACAGAAATCCCAAATGCAAATCACTAAAAAGTGCTCTGCCACTTTTAGCACCCCTTGCTTTGGGCCTTCCTTTTTATTGGAATAAATGCTGAAATCACTTTTAATAAATAAATAAATCAGTAAATAAATAAATAAGTGCTGAAATCACTTTTAGTAAATAAAAATTGTCAAAATCACTTTTAGTACCCCCTACTTTGGGCCTTTCTTTTTTTAGAATAATGATATGATATGATATGATGTAATGTAATGTAATGTAATGTAATGTAATGTAATATAATATAATATAATATAATATAATATAATATGTAACATAATGTAATATAGTATAATATGATTTGATATAATGCAATATAATGTAATGTAATGTAATGTAATATAGTGTAATATGATATGATGTAATGTAATGTAATGTAATGTAATGTAATGTAATATAATATAATATAATATAATATATGATTATAATATAATATATATCATAAAATAATAAATCAGCCTTCAACATGGAGTCAAGATTCCCATCTCTTCCCTGTCCTGGCACACCTGTGAACACCCCCACAGGGATTTTTCCTCCCCAGAGCAGTGAAAATCCCACGGGGGTGCCCCAGGCTGAGCCCCATCCCTGTCCCTGTCCATGCCCAGTCCTGTCCCTGCCCTGCCCCTGTCTCTCTCCCTGTCCCTGTCCCTGTCCCTGCCCTGTCCCTGTCCTGTCCCTGCCCTGTCCCTGTCCCTCTCCCTGTCCCTGCCCTGTCCCCGTCCCTGCCCTGTCCATGCCCTGTCCCTGCCCTGTCCCTGTCCCTCTCCCTGTCCCTGCCCTGTCCCTGTCCATGCCCTGTCCCTGCCCTGTCCCTGTCCCTGCCCTGTCCCTGCCCCTGCCCCTGTCCCTGTCCCTGTCCCTGTCTCTCTCCCTGTCCCTGTCCCTGCCCTGTCCCTGCCCCTGCCCCTGTCTCTCTCCCTGTCCCTGCCCTGTCCCTGTCCCTGCCCTGTCCCTGCCCCTGCCCCTGTCTCTCTCCCTGTCCCTGTCCCTATCCCTGTCCCTGCCCTGTCCCTGTCCCTGCCCTGTCCCTGTCCCTGTCCCTGCCCTGTCCTGTCCCTGTCCCTCTCCCTGTCCCTGCCCCTGCCCTGTCCCTGTCCCTGTCCCTGCCCTGTCCTGTCCTGCCCCTGTCTCTCTCCCTGTCCCTGTCCCTGCCCTGTCCCTGTCCCTGCCCTGTCCCTGCCCCTGTCCCTGTCCCTGTCCCTGTCCTCGTCCCTATCCCTGTCCCTGCCCTGTCCCTGTCCCCGGGCTCGGGGACAATCCCGGCTGCTGCGGGGATGATCTCATGGCTGCAGAGGGAGGGAGGCAGGGCTGGATTTCCAGGGCTGCCGAGCAGGGCTGGGCCCTGGCTGCGGTTTGCCGGGCTGATGGATGAGAGCTGGCAGGGCAGTGACCTGGCAAGGGCCGTGGGTTTGTGCCACGGGCACAGGGAGGGCAGCGCTGGGTGCCCAGCCCACGCCTCCCCCAGCGCTTCGGAGGGGCTGAAACGGCGCCAGGGTGTGGAGAGCCTGGTTCAAACATGGCTTAAAGAAAAAGGCCGCGAAGGTATACAGCTGATGGAAAAGTAAAAGGCAGCTGTAAAGCAGCAGTTCCCAGGCTTGATTCTGTAAATAATTAGGTTCTCAAGCACATTTTTTATAAACACCAAGATTCTCAGACAGTCTTCTCATAACAGGTAAACATTCTGTCCTTGGCTGCTCTGGGAACAGATATGAAGGTTTTGAGAACTTTTCATATCACGGTGAGAACACTGGTCTTGGTTTCAATAAACAAACCACAGGTATTGTAAAACAAAAGGAGGGGTTTGAGTTTTCTCTGTAGCCTATCGTGAGCTCGAATTTTGCAATATGCATGAAGTTAATTAACACTGTTATAAAAGGTGACTGATTTGATCAATAAATTGGAGTCGATGCTGATCAACAAAGATGGGTCGTCTCCCTTCGCTCTCAACACCAGGGCTTTGTAAAACCCCTCCTCTGCTCCCTGCCCATTCCCCTCCATCTGCTCCCTGCCCATTCCCCTCCATCTGCTTTCACAGCAGCAACCAGGAAACGTCCCCTGAGTTAACCGCAGGTATGAGAATAATGTGGATTCATTCAACTGGACCGAATCTTTCTGAACTTCCTCGTTTGCCAAGCAAATTATAATCAAGGAAAGCAAAGGATATTTAAGGTCTGGCTGAATGGAGGCTGAGAACCCGCTGGAAATGATATTTTGGGTGAATTTGTGCTGGTTGCCACAGGTGGAACAAAAACAAAGCTGGGTAAAAGGTGCAGCCTGCAAACCAGCAGCTCTGAGAGCAGTGGATCAGAGACAATCTCTGGCATCAGGTGTTTCAGGAACCTCTCAGGTACCTCAGAAAATGGGGAAAAACCCCTAAATTCTGTAAGAAATAAAAATGAAAGGAAAGGACATTTAAGGTCTGGGTGAATGGAGGATGACCAACCCACTGGAAATGATATTTTGGGTGAATTTGTGCTCGTTCCCAAAGGTGAAACTAAAACAAAGCTGGGTAAAAGGTGCAGCTGCAAACCAGCAGCTCTGATCCAAACTCTTTGCCATATTTGATGTAAAATCAGAGGTGAATCCACAACCTGGACACTCCAGTGTGAGAGGAATGGAGGATTTGTGTTTCCAAACAAGCTGTGGGTCTCCTGGTAGATAAAACCAGGAGATAAACAAATGAGAGTTAAAAAAAATGAGAGATAAACAATGGGAAGGATTGCACTGATTGGTGAATAGGAAAAGAGATTTTGCTTTTAAAATAAACTTCAGGTTTGATGATCAATGAAATTGGACACTGAAAGGTGAAAAAACAATGGGGAAAACCTCTAAATTCTGCAAGAATTAAAAATGAAAAGGGAAGGCTGTACATTAGAGGGGAATCTCTGGTAGTATCAGGTGTATTGGGAAGTGTGAACCTCTCAGGTATGTCAGCCAATGGGGAAAAACCCATAAATTCTGTAAGAATTAAAAATGAAAAGGAACATTTAAGGTCTGGCTGAATGGAGGCTGAGAACCCGCTGGAAATGATATTTTGGGTGAATTTGTGCTGGTTGCCACAGGTGGAACAAAACCAAAGCTGGGTAGGAGGTGCAGCTGCAAACCAGCAGCTCTGAGAGCAGTGGATCAAACTCTCTGTCATATCTGATGTAAAATCAGAGGTGAATCCACAACCTGGACGCTTCCAGTGTGAGAGGAATGACAGATTTGTATTTCCAAATAAGCTGTGAGCTTGCAGGACCTTGCAGAGTGAAGCTGTGAGCTTGCAGGACCTTGGTGTGAAGCTGTGGGCTTGCAGGACCTTGGTGTGAAGCTGCGAGCTTGCAGGACCTTGCAGGACCTTGCAGGGCGCAGCTGTGGGCGGGCAGAATTCCCTGACAGGGAAGGAACGAGGCTGCTGCTGTATCAAAGGAAGGGGAGCAGACACAGCAGCCCTTTTTATAAATACATTTATACATTTCAACTCCTCCTCTGCCCAAACAAGCTTTGATCTCCCAAGGAAAGGGGCCAGGACCCTCCTCTGCCTGCCTGCCTTGCAACTTTGAATTTTTTTCTGAGTGTGAATTTGAACTTTGAATTCCTTTGCTGAGTGTGAATTAAAGCTTTGAATTTCTCTGCTGAGTGTGAATCAGAATTTTGAATTTTTTTCTGAGTGTGAATTTGAACTTTGAATTTCTTTGCCTCCTCTCCAGGCTTGGTTTCTTCGCCCTCCTTCCTCCCCCTCATCATCATTTCCTCAGGGCCTGGTGCTCCCGAGGTCAGAGCTGGCTCTGGTTTGTCCCTTTCCAGCCCAAACACTGAATTTTGGGAGGGCACAGCAGGCTGGGGGTGTTTGGGGGGTGCTGCTGGATGCCCCCAAACCCACCCAGCCCTGATCCCTCTGTAAAACCTGACTCAGGCTGCACCAAGGTGACATTGCTGGTGACAGCATGTGTCCAGGCTGGAAAGCTGTTTGATTTTCCAGCCTGGAAAAAGAAAAACAAAACCCAAACCTGTTTTTCCTCCTTTTATCAGCATCTGTGGGGCTGAGGTGGTGAGAAGGAGGGGATGGGGAGGATGGAGCTGGGGATTTCTCAGCAGATGGGGCGGCTTTGTCCCCTGCCTGTCCCCTCACAGGAGCCAGAGCAGCTCTGGAGCAGGAATGGGAGGAGTTTTGGGGTCCCTTCCAACCCAAACCTTCCCTGATTTTGTGATTCTGGCACTCAGAGCCACCCAGGTTTGGGATTTGCAGCCAGGGATTTCTGAGGCTGGAGGGAAAAGAGGGGAAACCAAACCCCAGGCAATTCCCTGAGGAAAGGAGAGCCCAGGTGTTGGTCCCTGCTGGCATCTGCCCCTGTCCCTGGAGCCAGGAGCACCTGAGCTGGCCCCGGCTGTCACCAGGGTGGGCTCTGGACCATGGGGACACGGAGAGCCCAGGGACAGCTCCAGGGATCCTGCCAGGAAGGGAAAAGCTGCAGCCCCGAGCGAGCTCCAGCACCCTGGGCAGCCAGGCTGGCACGGCCGGGCCCTCCCTGCTGGTGCCAGGCACTGACACCAGGGCTCAGCCCCTCAGAGAGGGCAAACAGAGCCTGAGCGGGAGCTGGGGGCACGGGGCGGGCCGGGCTGTGGCACAGCTGGCAGGAGGCAGCGTGGCATGGCTGGGATTTACCTGGTGCGAGCCAGGCCTCGCTCTGCCCGGCTCCCTGAGCCCAGCCTGGCTGTGCCCAGCTCCCCAAGCTCTGCCAGGCTCTGCCCAGCTCTCTGAGCCCATCATGGCTCTGCCCGGTGCCCCAAGCCCTGCCCAGGCTCTGCCCAGCTTCCCAAGAGCTCTGCCCAGCTCTCCCCCAGGCTTTGCCCAGCTCCCCAAGCTCTGCCCAGCCCTGCCAGGCTCTGCCCGGCTCCCTGAGCCCAGCCCAGCTCTGCCTGGCTCCCCAGGACCAGCCTGGCTCCCCAGGCTCTGCCCAGTTCCTCAGGCTCTGCCCAGCTCTCTGAGAAATTCCTGTCAGGGAAGGAGCTGAGGGCTGAGGACAAGCACAATCCCATAAATCCTATAAATCCCCAATTTGGGATCCTGTATCCATATGGGACAGGGCAAAGCCCAGCCCAGCTCTGCCCGGCTCTGCCCAACTCCCCAAGCTCTGTCTGGCCCTGCCCAGCTCTGCCCGAGCACGGCTGCCCAGGCTGGGCTGCTCCCAGCGCCTGCAGCGTCCCCAGCCTGCCCTGAGCCTGCCCCAGCCTGCACCTGTGCCCGGGCTGGGATTTAACCCCTCATCTGCCTGAGATGTGCCCCAGCCTGCCCTGGGGGCTGTGTTGGCACAGGGGATGTGCCCAGGTTTGGATTTAACCCTTCATCTCCCCGGGCCCTGCCCTGACCTTTGCCTGCACAGGGGCTGTGCCCTGATTTGGATTTAACCCCTCATCTGCCTGAGATGTGCCCCAGCCTGCCCTGGGGGCTGTGTTGGCACAGGGGATGTGCCCAGGTTGGGATTTAACCCTTCATCTCCCTGGGCCCTGCCCCAGCCTGCCCTGGGGGCTGTGTTGGCACAGGGGATGTGCCCAGGTTGGGATTTAACCCTTCATCTCCCTGCATGCTCAAAGCCAACGCAGAGGGAGGGGCAAAAGCTCCTCCAGCGAGCCCCCAGGACAGAACAGCCCCCTTGGCTTTGGGAACACCAGCCTGGAGCCCCCACAGGGGTCACCCCCCTCTTCTGGGGAGATCCCACACCTTCCCACTCTCCACCTTAACCACAGCTCCCCATTTTGTGCAAATTCCTGTCCCTCCCATCGGCCTTTCCTGGTGAAGGATAAATCTCTGTGCAGCTTTAACGCCGAGGTGTCGCTCACACAGAACAAGGGGCAGACACTTCCACAAACCCCGAGGGTTCCTGGGGAGGCTCTCACCCAGCCCAGGGCTCCTCACCTTCGTTCCTCTGGTTGTTGAGCTGGTTGAACTGCTCCGTGAACTCCGTCAGGGACTCCTCGATGGTCTCCGTGCGCGGCACCGAGAGCGAAAATCTCCTCTTGAAGTTTTTCATCTTGTTCATCTTCCCTCGAGCTGCCAGGGATGGCAGAGCCCTGCAGGGGAAGGGGACAGCAGGCTCAGGGGGATGGACAGCACCAGGATGGGCCCCCAGCCCCAAGGCTGCTGCTCTTTGGGGTTGGTAATGTCCTGACGCAAATTTCTACCCCACAGCTGCTGCTCTTTGGGGTTGGCAGCATTCTGATCCGAATTTCCACCCCACAACTGCTGCTCTTTGGGGTTGGCAGAATCCTGACCCCAATTTCTACCCCACAGCTGCTGCTTTTTGGGGTTGGCAATGTCCTGACCCCAATTCCCACCCCATAGTTGCTGTTCTTTGGGGTTGGCAGCATCCTGATCTGAATTTCTACCCCACAACTCCTGCTTTTTGGGGTTGGTTCCATCCCAGCTCCATCCCAGCTCCGGTGCCTCCTCCCGCCGGGCGTCAGAATCGCCTTAACCGCAGATGAGATTAAGGCAATGAAACCCTTAAAGGAAGAAAACCCTCGGGGCACGGAGCCGGCCCCGGGCGCGGCTTTGCCTTTCCTGCTTCGGCTCTTGCCAGGACCCGGCTGGAAGCGCTGCCAGTGTGGGGTTTGGGTTCCAGCCCCGCTGCAATTCCTCCTGCCCAGCACGGATCCAGCACTCCCTGGATTTACAGACACGAAATCCCAGAATCTCAGACCGGTTTGATTGGAGGGACCTTGGGAATCATCTCACGCCATCCCCTGTCCCAGGTTGCTCCAGACCCCGTCCAACCCGGCTTTGGACACTGCCAGGGATGGCACATCAGTGTCCCACCCCCCTTCCAGCCTCAGGCCTGAGCAGGTCTGGGTCTGTCCCTCTCCTCTTCCCAGCCCCAGCAGTGTGGGGATGCTCCTCCTGCATCCCTCACCCTCTGGACACTCCATCCTCCCTGCCAGGAGATTTTCCATGAACAGGCCTGGATTCTAACACTCTCAGCCCCCAGCCCAATCTGAAGAGCTCAATCACCCCTTGGTACCAAACAGACCCCACAACTTCTAAGAGATGATTTTCCCAACAAGGAACATCACTTTCCTGCACATCCCATGTCTGGAGCAGCTCAGCCTCTTCCTCCTGGGTGTCCCCACTCCAGCTCTCCCCTGGATGTCCCCAGAGCCTCCTCAGGTTTATCAGCACCACCCTGGGTTCTAACACTGCTCTCAGCCCTTGGTACCAGACCCCAGAACATTTCAGGGATGATTTTCCCAACAAGAAGCGGCTCTTTCTTGCACATCCCATGTCTGGAGCAGATCAGCCCCTTCCCCCTGGGTGTCCCCACTCCTGCTCTCCCCTGGATGTCCCCAGATCCTCCTCAGGTTTATCAGCACCACCTTGGGTTCTTAATGGTGCTGTCAGCCCAATCTGAACCAAATCAACCAAATCTGAAGAGCACAATCACCCCTTGGTGAAACAGACCCCAAAACTTCTCAGGGATGATTTTTTCCCCACAAGGAGCAGCTCAGCCTCTTCCTCCTGGGTGTCCCCACTCCAGCTCTTCCCTGGTTGTACCCAGAGCCCCCCCAGCTTTATCAGCACCACCTTGGGCTCTTAATGCTGTTCTCAGTCCCCAGCCCAGTCTGAAGAGCTCAATCACCCCTTGGTACCAAACAGATCCCAGAACTTCTCAGGGATGATTTTCCCAACAAGGAGTGGCTCAGCCCTTTCCTTCTGGATGTCCCCACTCCAGCTCTTCCCTGGTTGTCCCCAGAGTCCCCCAGGTTTATCAGCACCACCCTGGGTTCTAACACTGCTCTCAGCCCTTGGTACCAGACCCCAGAACATTTCAGGGATGATTTTCCCAACAAGAAGCGGCTCTTTCTTGCACATCCCATGTCTGGAGCAGATCAGCCCCTTCCCCCTGGGTGTCCCCACTCCTGCTCTCCCCTGGCTGTCCCCAGATCCTCCTCAGGTTTATCAGCACCACCTTGGGTTCTTAATGGTGCTGTCAGCCCAATCTGAACCAAATCAACCAAATCTGAAGAGCACAATCCCCCCTTGGTGAAACAGACCCCAAAACTTCTCAGGGATGATTTTTTCCCCACAAGGAGCAGCTCAGCCCTTCCTCCTGAGTGTCTCCTCTTCCTCCTGGGCGTCCCCACTCCAGCTCTCCCCTGGCTGTCCCCAGACCCCCCCAGCCCCCTCCCATGTTTATCAGCACGGCCCCAGGGCGATCGCATCGTTCCAGACCGATCTCACACCGCATCCCCGTCGCCAGGACAACAGCGGCACCGCCCAGCCCGGCGTGCCCGCATGTGAACGCTTTAAAGGATGATCCCCCAGCAATGTAAACACTCGGCTGGGCGCCTGCCAGGCTCTGCGGTGAGGCACGGCACCCTGCAGCGGGTGAATCCCCTGAAAATCCCGGGAATTCACTGAAAATGCCGGGAATTCGCTGAAAATCCCGGCGATTCCCTGCCGCCGCTCAGCTCCCACCTTGCTGAGCATGAAGGCTCGGCCGTGCCTGGATTCGGGGGGTTTGCCGGGGGTGGGAAGGGAGGCGGGAGGGTTGGAGACACCCCCATTCCAGTTTCAGGGTTTCAGCCATTGGAATGTTTTCCCAGCGCTGCTGGAACGTGCTCGGACACAGTGAGGATGCTCTGGGTTCCAAAGGAGATTGAGGAGATCCAGAAGTGAATCCAGCTCCTGGTCCTGCACTGGGGACAAAATCCCAGCCTGGCAGGGGCTGGAATGGGATAAACAGGACATCAAGCAGGATTTTGGGATCTTGGGAAGGTGCTTGGCTGAGCAATTCCTGCTTTGATCATCCCCCATGGAGCTGATCCATAACCTCCTTTGATCTTTTGGTCAGGACCAAATCTGGGTCGGGAAAGACGCAGAAAACAGAAAAACACTCGAGTGAATGAGGAAAATGAGGAGAAGTGGTGTCTCCATCCATAACCTCCTTTGATCCTTTGGTCAGGACCAAATCTGGGTCGGGAAAGATGCAGGGAACAGAAAAGACACTCAGGTAAATGATGAAGATGAGGAGAAGTGCTGCCTCCATCTTCTTTCCCCTCCCCAAAAAGCTGTGGATGGTTTACAGGGAATCAGCTCCTCGCTGCCACAAAACTGCTCCACAAATCCAAATCCTTCCTGCAGGAATGCCAGCAGCTCTAAATATAAACCTGGGAGAGGAGAGGAGCGGAGAGAAGGGTAAAAATAGCCCCGGGCTGGCTGCAGCCTCTCCTGCCACGCCCGAGCCTCTCCCCGCTCCTGTCTCGCCTCCTCGGGTTCATTTTTCCAGCTACACCTGGAGCTGCTCGGAGTTCACGTTAAAGATGGGATTTATGGGATCCCAAAGCTGGGATTTATGGGATTGCGATGTGGGATTTATGGGATTGTGCTTGTCCTCAGCCCTTGGCTCCTTCCCTGACAGGAATTCTCCTTCCCCAACAGGATTTTGCCCTATCCCATACAGATACAGGATCCCAAAGCTGGGATTTATGGGATTGTGAGCTGGGATTTATGGGCTTGTGCTTGTCCTCACCCCTTGGCTCCTTCCCTGAGAGGAATTCTCCTTCTCTGACAGGAATCTGCCCTGTCCCATATGGATACAGGATCCCAAAGCTGGGATTTATGGGATTTATGGAACTGTGCTTGCTCTCAGCCTGACAGGAACTCACCCTGTCCCATATGGATACAGGATCCCAAAGTTGGGATTTATGGGATCCCAAAGCTGGGATTTATGGGATTGTCCTTGTCCTCAGCCCTCAGTTCCTTCCCTGACAGGAATTTACCCTGTCCCATATGGATGCAGGATCCCAAAGCTGGGATTTATGGGATTGTGAGCTGGGATTTATGGGTTTGTGCTTGTCCTCAGCCCTTGGCTCCTCCCTGAGAGGAATTCTCCTTCCCTGACAGGAATCTGCCCTGTCCCATATGGATACAGGATCCCAAAACTGGGATTTATGGGATTGTGAGCTGGGATTTATGGGCTTGTGCTTGTCCTCAGCCCTTGGCTCCTTCCCTGAAAGGAATTCACCCTGTCCCATACGAAATCCATACAGGATCTCAAAACTGGGTTCCAGGGGGAATTTAGGGTCAGGATGGGGCAGGAAATGTGGGGTTCCAGGGGGAATTTAGGGTCCAGCCAGGAAATGTGGGGTGCCCCACAACCCCCCAGGGGTTCCAGGAGCTTCACGCACTCTCCAGCCACATTCCTTGTGTGATAAAAAAATCCCTTTTCACAGCTGCTCTCCCAGCATGGATTTCAAAGGAAGAACTCCTAGCGACCGCCTCTCGTTTTGTTTAATTTTGTTTTAATTTTGTTTAATTTTATTGGGGTTCCCCCCCCCCCCCCCCCCCCCCCTCAGCGTGCTAAAGGAAGCGTTTATTGACTTTCCGAGGGGAAGTGACACTTGTTAAGCACAGCCGTGACATCACTTTGGGTTTTACGGCCTGGCAGGATCCCTGGATGCTGCCGGGGACGCAGAGCCAGCCGGATAATTAACAGCAGGCAGCAACATGACACGAGGGGAAGGAGCAGCTTCACACAGCAATGAGGAATTTAGGCATAAAAAATGAAATCACCCTGCTTGGAAGCCGGCCAAAAACCAGGATTAAAACCAGCAGGGCGAGTGATCTGCGTTTACTGGAACTGGGGTGGAGGGTAAATACCCGGCTGGAGCACTTCAAAGAGCCCCAAAGGTGAATCCCAGCAGGAAAACTCCTCACAAGGAGTTAAGGATCCTTTAGATGCTGCTGCCTTCAAGGCTGTGTCCGGAAATCACCTTTGAGCTGTTCTGCATGGGAATGGATTTCTCCTGAGTGAGAAATTACAAATTCCCTGAATTTACAGATTCCCTGCTCTGGAATTCCCGAGCCAGGTATTTTAGGCATCACCAGGGTATGGAGCTGTCCCCTCCCTCCTCCAGCAAAGCTTTGCGGCACTAATTATTTACCTCAAAAATTATCAATTCTCTGTTTTTTTCCCCGTATATTTTACCAGATTTCTGCCCCCATTTCCCAGCTGAAAGAGAGGAAGGCTCGGAGGGAAAAGTTTGCTTGTTTTAAACCGTTTTTTGTTTTGTTT